CGGAAAATGTCGAAGGGTGATGTTCCTAGCAAAGATCCCATTTATTATCATACAATACTCTGTATTTTGTCTCATACCGAAGGCACAAAAGAATATTTGAGTCATGGTCCAGCAAAACCACCTTCCGACTTTTTCCGAAGATTTTGAAAATATAAGTCCTTATCTATATGTAGTTCAATTTTTATTTCATGCCGAATTAATAATTTATCGAAACTATTAATTCGTTATGAAATAAAAATTAGTCTAATCAAAAAATCTCAAAATCTTCGAAAAAAGTCGGAAGGTGGTTTTGCTGGACCATGACCCATTTATCGAATTTACTGATTCTTTTTTAGTTAAATCATAATGATAATACTAGAGAATAAATCAGAAGTTATTCCCAAAATTGTCTTATACGGTTTAATATGAAAATGATTTGTACGAATCTTGCCTATCCGCTAAATGTTTACCAATAAAAATATTATGTATTTAAGAAATATTAAGAACTTAATCCTTCGAAATCTCATATTAAGATTTTGTCGACCTTCGGCTATAAAAAAATAACCGACTTACAAGAATGTCTTACAGGAACAAGTTAAAAAATTCGCGAATATGGTCACTTTATGCCTTAAAACTCTCACATTAAATACTATTAAAAATGGTCCTCTGAAAATTAGAAAATTATTTTTCGCTTTGTTCCTTTTATTTTTCTTTAGTCCTGTGGTTAATTCCTGGACCACTGTATTGCTAAAGTATAGAATTTGTAAAAAAGACTTTGATGCTATCATTAATCACGATTCTGTTAATGGAGGCACTTACGGCACTAACTTCATGTTACTCCAAACTGATAAATCTAACGTTTCCATTGCATTTCAAGGATGTACCCAAGATTGCTTTATGGCAATTGAAATAGATTTTGACAAAAATAAATTATACAGTAGTCTAGGTGACAAAAATTATCGCTGCTTTTCTTCTAATTATTCTGCTAATATTAACGTGGGCATGCAAATTATGTATACTGGAGTCAGCCCCAACAGCAAGCACCCCGCTCCCCCCTCAGTAACTTACAAATATTGCTTGAAAGGAATAAATATAGAGACTGGTGCCCCACAT